TTGTGCACCGCCTAGTTGTTTAATAACTCTGGTCTGCCATCACCAAGAGTTTTGTTAGGTTAGGCAGAAGTCCCCCATCCTTATCTCAATTTTCTTTTCTCAGCAATTTCCCATCCACCAACTCCAACTTGTTCCTTTGCTATCAATTCCCACTAATCCATGTTGCATTCAACCCAGATGTTCAGCATGTAACATAGTTCGACATAGCAATGAAAACACTAACAGCCCAGCGAAGTTGGCTGAGTGGTTGAAAGTCAATCTATGAATCAGGAGGTCACCATTCGATTCCAGGTCAGGGCACATGTCTGGATTCTGGGTTTGATCCCAGTGTAGGGCATGCAGGAGGCAGCCGATTCATGATTCTCTCTCATCAATGATGTTTCTATCTCTCTCTCCCTCTCTCTTCCTCTTTCAAATCAATAAAATATATTTTTAAAAAACAAGACTAACTACAGACAATATGTTATCTCAGATATAATGCTGAAAGAACCTGTATAATATAAATTATAATTTACTATATACAAAGCATAATAACAGATGAGAGCCAACTACACAGTTAGACATCAGAATAGTACCTATTCTTTACAGTGATGGCAAGTTAGTTGCAAGAAGGGGACACAAAAGAACACTGAGGGTGATTCCCTTAAAAAATTTTACTTTTTCATGTATGTTAACCTGGTTTGGCTCTTACAACATCTGTTAATTCATATAGCTGCCTACATCACTGCGATAATAATGGATTACTAACCAACATTAGAAATCAAAGTTGGGTACCTATACCATCTCCGGCATAAATGACCAGCTCCAATTAATTCTTGATCCTTTTACAGATTAATGCAGTGCATATTATAAGTCACAGAAATCTGGGCCTTACAGATTTCTATGACTTATAATAAAAACTCTGCTTCACATATCTCAACCTTAAAAGCACAAGAGTACTTCTTGCTCTACCAATAGCTCTGGTGGATAACGAATAAATGTCCAATAACGAAACATTTCCAATTCCTCAGGTTTAGAGTATAAGGACTTTTCTACCTCTCTTATTAAATCACAACTGATGGCAAAAAGATTGTGTTCAACTTTTTATTTTAGTAAAACCAGAATAAACACAGCACGTGCAGTGCTAGCATCTAAAACTAATACAATAAACAACTACAAAACCTACAGTGACTTCAGGTCCAATGACTACACTCAGCAAGTTTAAACCAATCCTTATTTACTGGTTGATTAAAAAGGAATGTAAAAGTCACAGATTATGGAATTACAAAGGTAACCACATGTTTGAGGACTGCAAATATGCCAGACAGTAAGTGAAAACCAAACCAAAAAAACCACGCACATTAAACAAAACTCAAAACCTTTGAGAATGTGGACACTTCCTACCAGTATTTAAAAGTGTATCATTAATATTTTTAAGACAAGTGTATCAAAACCTTAGCAAATTTTAAGTTGCCAATTTTACTTTAAATTTTGTCAGAAAGTCACAGCCAATGCTGGGTCTGCTTAATATGAACTCAAGTTTAACAGGACTCAACATTAAAAGTTCACACTACCCCAAAATATATTATTTCACATACGGTGACATTTAAGTGCCAGTGTTTTTGTACTGTCTTTTGGTCAAGTTTCTTTAAACTTTCAAAGAATCACTTTTAGGCTTACAAAAATAAATATTTGTCAAAATGTTCAATAAATATTACACAAACTAGCAGCAAAAAGTATCTAAAATCTGTCATGTGCAAACAGTTTCTTCATAACTATCATTCCATGGTCCCAAATAAAATTCTACAATCTAGTTTATAAGCTGCATTCAACAATCTCCAAGAGATAAAATGAGATTGGAAGTTTAAGGACACATACAACAAGACATATATATATGTATATGTGTGTGTATATATATATATATATATATGTATATATATAAAATTCTCTGAATGTGCAATAAAATAAGTGCTTTGTAAAAAGTTATGGGCAAAGTATACAAGAGTCTAAATATATACCAATTGAAATAGCACCATAACAAATGACCTTAATACTGTCAACTGCACCTACTTAAAGTTTTAGAACAAGGCACAATACTCCTGAAAAATCTATTGCACTTTTAAGAAAATTTTACCTTCTTATGCAACCGTAAAAATTAGTTTGTAAATATCACTGCTTTCTAGCTATAAAATCAGCACAGAATTCCAAATGGCAGAGGCATTTTTAGTGATGGACAATCATCTTTGGCCAAATTTAGCAAAGAGAGTATAAGTACAATGGAAACCTATGCAACTAAAAGAAGACTAAAAGTGCACTATATAGAAATAACACCAGGTGCAGTTTAGTACATATTTCCAACCTGTGGGATCTCAAGGATTTGTTTGCTAAAATTTACTAAGTCTACAAGTGTAAGCCATTTTAACCTTTCAATACAGCTTAAACAGAGTAACATGAATCTGCATTAAAATAAAGCCTGGTGCATAATTCTCCCTGCTTATATATTCTTGACCAAAAAACAACACTAGCATGCAGTTCAGACCAAAATCCAACCAGGTCTATAAAGAAGACAAGGCATTGCTCATGGTCAGCCATTCTACCAATTCAATTTTAGTTATCGCAGGCATTAAAATAATCTAATTTCCCCCAAAACATTTTTTAAAGCAAACATTAAACTTTCCCTATAATAGTACGCCCACACTCGCCTAGCTTACAATTAATAAACATTGAAAGAGGAATTGCTGTATTTACTTGCATTCGTTTTGAAGAGTGCTTTGAAATGCATGGATATATTCGTACCTGCTACTTCATCATGACTGAATGACATTTAACTACTACAAAGTTTCTAAGTGCTTACCCACGACAGAGAAGTCAATCAGAACTTTAACATAGTCCATTTGGGCACATTAGAAACTAATTTTGCTTAAGATGTTCTTCTTCCCAGTCTACAAGTAAATACCCCAAAAGTGCTAAGAAGCTACTACCTAAATTATTTTTAATCTTATAATACTTACTGATAAATTGGTAACTCCTAATAAGTTTATCACAGCTTTATGCAAAAGTTTGGTGTTAGCCCAAGTTCAGAAATTTATTTTGTCAAAACAATTGATACCTTGAGCATTACTCAGCCAAACAGAACATCAAAATAATAAGTTGTCTAAAGTTACAGTATATTAACAAACAAATGATTCTCAGTCACAAAATTATAAATGCAGCTTGGGATGGAAAATAAGCAAGATGGGAGTTAATCCAAGCTAGAGCGATTAAGTCTTTCAACCAACTTCTGAACGGAGCTGTTACTGTTCCTTTCTTCTTGTGACTTTGATCTTCAATAGCTTTTCAGGAGAATCACAGCTGGTAATGTACTGAAAGTTCTTAAAACTACACGATATAGTCTGGCTAAGTTACATGTGGTTTCCATATTAACTTGTTTAAAAGGGTGATGTGACTGTAGAGCAGGTTTAATTGCCCCACCAGTCAACCCCCTGGGAGTTATAATTCCCTCCATATCCGTCACTACTGTAGAAGCCTCCATAGCCACCTATTAAAAAATGTTTAAAGAGAGATTAGGTTAGCCACTGTAATTATCTCCCTTGTTTCTCAAGTACTTTAAGGCTCAAAGAAAAAAACTATATTGGATTTTGTGTTCTTTGAAAATAAAATTTCTTCACTATCACATTGAAAAAGAGTAAGTGAATCCTGGCTAGTGTGTCTCAGGCGATAGAGTGTCAACCCTCACACCAAAGGGTCATGGATTTGATTCCCAGTCAAGGATATATACCTGAGTTACAGAATTGCTCAGTGACCCCACTCAGGATGTGTTTGGGAAGCAACAGTCGATGTTCTCTCATATTAATGTTTCTCTCTCTTTCCCTGGACCCCTCTCATCCCTCCCTCCCACTACCTCTGAAAAGTAATGGGGGGAAAAACCCTTAGGTAAGATTAAACAAAACAAAAGAGTAAGGGGGCAAAAGCTCCTTCCAAAGTTATAAAAGAGGAAAATTCATATTACCTCCACCAAATCCTCTACTGCTGCTGTGACCTCCACCACCACTGCGGCTGCTGCTTGCACGGCCACTACTAAAGCTAGAACTGCTGGAACCGCTACTTTGTCGATAGTCTCTGGCACCAAATCCTCCACTGAATCTACTATAAAGAAAAACATTGTGTGATGGTTTATGAGAATGAAAATTCACACATCTAACTCCCCTAAGTCCCAATTTTTGATTTTTCAACTCATTTTCCATTGTGGTCAATTCCTCTTATGTTTCCAGTGTAAATAGTAGTAAGAATAAAGGCTCAAAACAATCTGTACCTCTTAGAACGTCCACGACTGCTACTCTTATAGTGATGTTCATAAGCCATATTTTCTAACCAAGACGGCACTTCTTGTTTAGCTTCAACAAGAAGATCCAACAAATCCTTTGTAATATTTGCATTTCTTTCGTTAAAAAATGAGGTGGCAAGGCCTATAAGAGTGAAAAATAAACAACAAACAAAAAACATATAATGTAGGTTTCCATAAAGTAGCCTTGTATTGTTAAACATGTAAAACATAAAAACTTAACATTATTTGCAATTAAACCCTTAGAAATTAAAACAAAAACTTTTAGTGTATGACAACTGATGTTAAAGGGGTCCCAGATGCCCTTTGAAAATTAGTGTTCTAGTATTTAAGATTTTGTGTCAGATCGTCAACTAAAAACACTTTACCGAGGTTTCCTACACGTCCCGTACGGCCAATCCGATGTACATATTCTTCAATATCGCTTGGCAAATCAAAATTGATAACATGTTTCACATTGGAAATATCTAGTCCTCTTGCAGCCACCTGAAAAATAAACTTTGTTTAAAAAAAGCAATATTCAAACATGCTCACGAGCCCTGATCGGTTTGGCTCAGTGGATAGAGCATCGGGTGGGGACTGAAGGGTCCCAGGTTCGATTCCAGTCAAGGGCATGCGCCTTGGTTGCCGGCACATCCCCAGTGGGGGGTGTGCAGGAGGCGGTTGATCGATGTTTCTCTCTCATTGATGTTTCTGACTATCCCCCTCCCTTCCTCTCTGTAAAAAAAATTAATAATATATATTTTTTTTAAAAAACATGCTTAAGAAAAAATGAAAATATACACACAGCTGTAGCCACTAGAATTGGGCTTTTTCCTGAACGAAACTGGTAAAGCGCTTCCTCTCTATCTCTCTGTGATCGGTCTCCATGGATACTGGTACAAGCATATCCTTCGTGGTATAAGAAATCCTCCAGAGAATCAGCACCCTTTTTGGTCTCCACAAACACTAAGGTCAGTGAGTCTTTCCCTGAAAATTATATATAAAAGTTTTATTAATTGCAACTTAGCATAAAGTATTGATTAGACCTAAGTATTTATCAGCTTAGTTATCTTCAACCTTAGTAATAAGCATGCACATTGGAGTTAATTAAAATAAACTTTGTTTTAGGGCTTAAGGAAAGGTGGGCAAAAGGCAGGTTAGGAACTAGGTCCAAAAATATTGAACTTACACTATTATTATTTACTAGAGGCCCAGTGCACAAAATTCATACACTGTAGGGTCCCTAGGCCTGGCTGACAATCAGGGCCAATATATTAGGCGACCGGCCAGATGATGGGGGGGTTCCCCCAGCTCACACCCACCTTGGAGCCGTCCGCTCACTGGCCCCGACCCATGCCGCCACCACCAGTCAGGGCCTGCAGGCTGGGGGCAGCTCCTGCATTGAGCACCTGCCCCCTAGTGGTCAGTCATGTCATAGCAACTAGTTGTTCCCCGTTAGATCAATTTGCATATTAGGGTTTTATACAGATAGATGATTTTACCTGTTGCATTTAACAGATCAAGCAGAAATGAGCGTTTGTCTAACTCTTCCACCCAAACTACTTTTTGTGTGATGTTCTCAGAGGTAGAGCCAACTCTGCCTACAGCCAGAAAGATATATTCATCCAAAAAATCACGAGCAAGCATCTGAAAAAGGGAAGAAACCCTAACGTTATCTATTTCAGTTTTTCTAATTATCTGAAGAAAATGTATTACTTGTAAACAAAAAAACGTCTTAAAAGAAGTATATCCAATACCTGTATTTCCTTAGGAAAAGTAGCACTAAACATCATGGTGTGGCGAACACCCTTTGGTGGCATAGTATCTTGTTCAACTATACGACGTATCTGAGGTTCAAACCCCATATCTAGCATCCTATCAGCTTCATCCAACACTAAGTATCTGTTATAAAAGACTCAGTTTAGAATTTTATGAAAAACTGATCATTGAGTATAGTTGTGTCTATAGTTATGTTAATATAGTCATTCTATAGTCAGCCACACATTTCAACACATGTGAAACACAAAAACCAATGCACCAAACTAGCTATTATTTTTCCCAATGAATCATACAAGTTGGTTATAATTTTCAATAAACGTAAATGGTACTTGCCTTCTCCCACAACCACATCAAAATTACAACTAATCTACAAAAGCAACCATCCTACAGAACTGCCTGAAATGTAACTGGAGTTCTACAACTAGGGAATTTAAAAAGCTACACTGAGACTGACAGGAGGGTCAGAAACCAAGAAAGGCAAGTCTCACACCCACTTGTGGCAAATAAGAATAAGGAGGGATAGCTCCGCTCTGGAGGAGCCCCCATTGAGGAGGATGGGTCCCAATCCCAATCCAGGCCATCTAGTCCTGGGAAATTCTCTAACTTCTGGCTGTGAAAACTAGTAGGGAATGTGGCTAAGATGGAGGGCTGCTGGATTCCCAGACAGTTCCTCTTCAAGGGTATGTGCAAAGACTTACTCAGATTTATTGGATCTGAGCTCCAGCACAGGGCAGCAGCCTGAAAGGCAGCAGAGACATACAAGGAGGAACTGAATTGTTTGGCATCAGGGTGAACACTTGGGGTGGGGTAAGGCATTTTCTCTTAAGTGCTGGCTATTATTCCCCTGAAAATCACTCCTCGCAAAGCCCACAATTCCATCAACCTGGCTAACACGTTCTTTGACTTGCTCCGGTGGTTCACTGAAGCCTGCCTCACCCCAACTCAACAAATAGTTTCTAGGGGCTTTTCTATAGGAATTCCATGTGTTGGCTCATGCTTCAGATTTTCAACAAACAGAATTTGGTCTCTGTGTGCCCCATACCTCTTACTAATTGGCCTCAGGACAGGCACTAACAGCAATCAGGCTTGGTTTACAGCTTAATCTTACCCACCTAGACACCTCCACACCCAGCACAAGTAGTAGCCAACTGCAAATCACTTTGTATCTCATGCCAAGTGGCCCTGGACTACACCTCCTCGGATACCGCAAAGCCTGTGCAACCAGTGGACAGCTTCACACCACATTGAAGCACCACATAATCATCTCCACAGAGACACACCCAAGGGGTAAATTCAGCAGGCACCAGAGCCCTGCTGAAATAAGTCCTGCTCTGTGGGGTTAGCCCCTGCATTACTGATCTTCCATCGTAGATGGAGATTGGTGATTGCTGCCAATCCTTACAGCTAACTGACATGAGGATAATTATCTCACATTGATGTGCCAACAGCAATAAGGGCTCAACAAGAGGAACATGTACACAGCGTACATGGGGAGGAGGGCCACACCTCCAGTGCCCAGTGAGGGTAATCAGGGAGGCTGTGCCACTGTACCCTATAGTATACCTGTTAGGCCACAGTACCAAGGCCAGACATAGTATCTCTACCTAATACCAGACTTAATGGAAACACAAGAGAGGCTGCTTAAATTGAGGAAACAAAGATGTCCAAATTGAAAGAATAGAACAATGGTGACAAGCAACCTAGTAGATTAAGAGCTTAAAACACTGGTTATAAGGATGCTCACTGAACTTAGTAAGAACCTCAACAGCATAAAAAAAGAACCAGTCACAGAAATGAAGGATATACTAAGTGAAATGATAAATATTTTACAGAGAATCAACATTAGAGTAGATAAAGCTGAGAATCCAATAAGCAATTTGGAATAAAAGGAAGCAAAAAAACCCCACCTGACCAAACCAGCAATAAAACAATTTTTAAAATGCAGATAGTGTAAGGAGCCTCTCTGCATTAATAAGTGTACCAACATTTGTATCACAGGGGTGCTTGAAGCAGGAAAAAGGGAGAAATTGAAATCCTCTTTGAAAAAATGATGGAAATCTTCCCTAACTTAGGGAAGGGTATAGACATACAAGTCCAGGAAGCATAGAGTCCAAAACAAGAGGAATCTAAAGAAGCCCAAACCAATACACATCATAATTAAAATGCAAAAGGTTAAAAACAAAATCTTCAAAACAGCAAAATAAAAGCAGTTAACTGCAAGGGAGCTCCCTTACAACTGCCAACTGATTTCTCAACAGAAACTTTGCAGGCCAGAAGAAATAAAAAATATTCAAAATAATGAAAATCAAGAACCTACAACCAGGATTACTCAGCAAAGCTATCACTTAGATTCAAAGAACATATAACTAGCTTCCCAGACAAAAAAAAGCTAAGGAATTCATCACTACCAAACCAGTACTATTAATACATGAAATGTTAGAGAGTCTTCTTTAAAAAGAAAAATAAGATAAAAATATCAACAATGGCAATAAATTTATCAACAATTGAATCTAAAAAACAAAATAAAAAACAAAAAAGTAATTTTAAATATATAGTTAAATTATTAAAATTACCTTTCCATCTTAAAAATATTAGTAAATGCTATAAAATTAATGACCACTATTTTTTTAAATGTATACCCCATATATAAAAATTAACATACTTGCAGAAGTCTAATCCAATCTTTCCTCTTTCCATCATATCCACTAAACGTCCAGGAGTGGCAACTAGTAAGTGACATCCGCGTTCTAAGTCTCGAATTTGCTGACCAATATCAGCACCACCATAAACCACACAAGGACGAACTCTAGACCTGTATGAAAACTATAAGCAAAGAATTATTTAGGTTATCATAAGACATTAGAATCAATAAAAATGCCAATTATCAATAAAATGTATATTTACTTTTCTGGCTTCCTCATAGATTTGTACAGCCAATTCTCTTGTTGGGGCTAACACCAAGGAGATTGGATATTGTTTACGGCGTCCATACCTCCCAGTTTCCTAAGAAATAAGTACAATTTTATAAATTAGAATCAAAGACCTAAAACTTCTACTCCTTTTAAAAGTCCTAACAAAATATTCCTTTTAATTTAAGAATCACATCAAAACAAAATAAAAAAATCCCACAAGTTTTCACTGAAGAAATAAACTGAAAAGAAAATGTACTGAAATGTAAAAAAAGTGTATTTGGTATAGTTTACAGAAAGATCTGAACAAGTATTTACAAAATGTTTTCAAAGAAATAACTTGTTTTATACAAAAACCTTTACCCTCACAGCCTTCAAAGCTTCGCCTGGACCATCTGTATAAATTTGACTCAAGATAGGCAAAAGAAATGCTGCAGTTTTTCCAGACCCTGTTAAAAAAATATTGGCATATTAAATTTGAATATTAATAAAGTGTTTCAAATGTTCTTTTAATAAAAGATAATTTACTTACTCTAATGCATAAGTTTTCTGGAAATTATGGTATATTTACAGCTAAGCACATAATGCCAAATGACTTCTTTGATCCATTTTTTTTAAAAAACATTTTTTTTATTGATTTTTAGAGAGGGGAGGGAGAGGAAGAGAGAGAGAAAAACATCAATGAGAGAAACATTGATCGCTGTCTTCTGCACGTCCCCTATCAGGGATGGAGCCCACAACTTGGGCATATGCCCTGACTAGAAATGGAACCGGGGACCTCAGGGTGTACTGATTGCACTCAATGATACGCAACTGAGCCACAAGTGGTCAGGCCTGTGATCCCTTTTAAACAATGCAATATTCATTCCTTTGAATTTTAATTAGTACAAAGAACCATTTTGCCTGTACTGGTATGAACTCCCATTTTAATACTTTTTTGTTATTATAAACTGTTGAAATGTAAACCATCCAACTTTCTGAAGTGTCTAAATTGTAAAGGGCTTTGTATGATAGTCTGTCTTGCTTTGTAAAATAAAAGCTAAGGGTCTAGCTGTTTCAATAAAATTTTAAAAAACAGGTGTTGGGTTTGGTCCTAGGCCCTAGTTAGATTTTAAAAAAAAAAATTCTATTTTTTAAAGAAGGAAATATAGTAGCCATGACAGATGACTCAAGTTTTACAGATTAAACTACCTGAACCCTTCCATTCCCCAATTTCCAAAATACTAGAAGATGGACAGTACCTTTTCCCCACCCACATTTTTATGGATCATAGGATCATCCAAGATATTATATTTCCTATTACAATTATATTCCCTCCACTGCATTCAAAATTTTCACCCTTTTACAATAATGTGAGGGATGACAATTTTATACAGAATTTCTCAAGATACCCTAGTTTGGATAAAAGGAACCAAAGAAACAAGATAAAAAAAAAAAAAAAGACAGCTCCATTTAATCTTTATCTAACTCAAAATAATGTTAAAAAAAACTCATAATAGGACAAATTATATTCCATATATAATTATTTTTAGAGTAAACCGAGTTAAAATTAACTTTTATTCTTTATCAAGAGTGTTTACCTGTTTGGGCACAAGCCATCAAGTCTCTTTTTTCTTTGATAATAGGAATGGCATATTTTTGCACTGGAGTAGGACGAGTATAACGAGTAAGCTCAATGTTCCCCATGATAATTTCTCCCATTTCAATATCGTTGAACTGTCAAAGAAATTTAACTAGGTCAGATACATATACAACTAGAAATGCTTTATCTGCTGAAATTTGTTTTATACCAGGGGTCCTCAAACTTTTTAAACAGGGGGCCAGTTCAACTGTCCCTCAGACCGTTAGAGGGCCGGACTATAGTATAAAAAAAACTATGAACAAATTCCTATGCACACTGCACATATCTTATTTTGAAGTAAAAAAACAAAACGGGAATACTATATTTGTACTTGCATGTGACCCGCGGGCCGTAGTTTGAGGACCCCCGTTTTATACTAACATAAATACAAAAGTAATCAACTAAATGTCGAGTTGTGATTGAATTTACAGTTGCTTTGATTTTAGGCAAAGGTATCATAGTACTTATAAAGAAAACAGATTTCTGAGTCTAATGTACAATAAAAAAGTTTTGAGTTCTTATTATGTTTGGAAATTTTTCTACTCCAGGATTACTCATAATGGTGGCATTAATTTCAGTCTCTCCTTTTTCATAACTCAATGAAGTTTTTGGTAGTAACTTCAGAGAATTGAAAAAAAAATAAAACAATACAACTTACACTTTCAATATGTGGAGGACAGTTATTGCCGGTTGCCTCTACTGGAATATCATCATATTTCTCAAAATTAATCCCAGTGTTTCCTCCAGAAAATAGTTCCCTAAAATTAAATGATTATAACGTTACAATAAATAGTAAGTTTCATAACAATCAAAATACATTTCAAAAACTTACTGTTCCAAACGTTCACTTGGTGGAAGTTGTTTTGACCAATCATCATCATCTGATCTGTCACCCCATCGACTGTGTCCACTGCGATCAAATTTGCCAAAACCAGTCCTGTCACCACGACTGCCAATACCATCATAGTCACTCCGTCCACGATCATCAAACCTGAAAAGCACAAGCAATTGATCAGAGTATGTCATTTAACCAATATCATATACTACCTTTTAGGCAGGTACTCCTATATGAGTTGAATTGTTATTCACAAATCCTTTTGAAAGATGTCAACAATTCAATTTTAATTCTCATTTGTGAAATAAGACTCTCTGCTTAATCAGTGGTTATTGTATAACATACATCTTTAATTATTTAAAAATATATATATTTTATAACTATAAAATTATTCAGCTTAAACAAATCTTACATGCTGTTTTATAATACTTATAACATGTACTTTACATATCCATTTTATAGTAATCTAAATATACTTAATAGGAAAACAAGATATGAATGTCAACTATCCTGGTCATATTTGGATATACAGGAAAAGCAACTTATGTGATAAGACTTAAGGTTTTTAGTTTTATTTGTGAAAAAAACTGTACAAGAATAATCACAGATATTAAGATCTTAAGTTCCATTTTTCACAGTGGTACAGTCATTAGAACTGTCTAACTGCCACAGAGAACCCATAATTACATAAAAGTAACAGATCCATTATGTCAAATAGTGTGTTCTTATTGCGTGTAATTTCTGTGTATCAGAAATAAAAAAACCTGGTAAAGACTGCTTAAAATCTGTAACAGAAAGATGGTCTATTAAGGGAAAAAAACATCGTAATTAAAGATCAAGGAAAGTACAAAGAATGAAAATATATCAAACAGTTGATTCCTAAGCTGCTACTGTACACATAGTGGCAAGCTAAGAATTTACCTTCCTCTTGATCCGCTTCCACGATCACTGTAGTAACTGGGCTTTCCTCTTGAATCTCGAGACCCAAAACTGCTATAAGCATCTTTATCTTTACTACAACTCCACCCTGAACTGTCTTTATCATGGAATCCTTCCAAAAAAAGCAAAAATTAGAAGTTGACAATACTTTCATGAAAATTCCTATCTCTTCAACTAAGTGGTTATTCACAGCTAGCCTCTCTTAATGGGGGGTGAGGTAGAAAAGGAAAAGAGACACAAAAATGTCAATGAGATTATTTTTATCAAACCATTGGAAAAAGATTTAAATAATTGGTTTGTATCAAATAGGTTGTTTTTTGTTTTACTATATTTAATCCTCTTTTCCTCTACAAATTGTATTAAGCAAAGTAACCTCAAGATCTAAAAACAATGTGCTGAATGATGAATACTACCCTGAGAGTTTAACAAATATAATGAAACAGCAGAGCTGGTGTGGCCCAGTTGTTGACCATGGACCTACGAACCAGGAGATCAGGGCAAATGCCCAGCATGCCTAGGTTGCGGGCTCAATGCCCTGTAGAGGGCATGCAAGAGGCAGCCAATGAATGATTCTCTGTCATTGATGTGTCTATCTCACTCTCACTCTCCCTTGCTCTCTGAAATCAATAAAAGTATATAAAATAAAAACAAAAACTACACCTGAGTATTTAAAATAACTACTTGCCCTAGCTGGTTTAGCTCAGTGGATAGAGCATCAGCCTGCGGACCTAAGGGTCCCGGTTTTGATTCTAGTCTAGGTCATATGAGGGCAGCAGAGGGCGTGCAGGAGGCAGCCCGTTATGATTCTCTCTCACCACTGATGTTTCTACCTCTCTCCCTCTCCCTTCCTTTCTAAAATCAGTAAAAATATGCTTAATAAAATAAAATAACAACTACAAATATAAAATAAGGAAACATTTAGAGCAAATAGATTTTCCCATAGAAGGTTAATTCTTAAAAATTCATAACCCACTTCTTAAATCATTAAAATTAACCTTTTTTGCCTTGGCCGGTTTGGCTTAGTGGATGGAGTGTCAGCCTGAGGACTAAGGGGTCCCAGGTTCGATTCCGGTCGGGGCCACATGCCTGTGTGTGGGTTCAATCCCCAGTGGGGAGTATGCAGGAGGCAGCCGATCAGTGGTTCTCTCTCATCATTGATGTTTCTCTCTCTCTCTCTCTCCCCACCTTCCTCTCTGAAATCAATGAAAATATATTTTAAAAAGTAAATAACCTTTGTACTTAGAAACTAAAATTGCTCAATCTATCGTCATGGATGTCTCCAAGTTTTAAAGTTAATTTCATACTGAGGTATTGCCATAGTTCCTGTTTCAGTATTACCAAAATAACAAAAGAACCCTTAATGTATTTCATACTCATGCATACTGTTTTTCAAATTCTACATGTCTAACAATATTGTGCTATCTGTATAATCTTAGAGAGAATCAGGTATAAGAGGGGAAAAAGAAAACTCCCACCCTTGCCTTATTTCTCTATGGACATGACTCGAGAAGACACTGATAAAAGAAAGGCAACAAGGGTAAGCTCACTCAACAATTAAGTTTACATTCAAACATTTTATTAAATGTTTTGCCATTTACAAATTAATGAAGTTACTTCCCCTCTGCTTTATGGTTCCTTTAGTAGCCAGCCAGTTAACCAATAGCCTTTAGATTGTTAGCTTTTTAAAAATATTTTTTTATTAATTTCAGAGAGGAGAGAGAGGCTGAGAGACACAAACATTAATGATGAGAGAGACCTATTGCCACCTGCTGCATGTGCCCTACTGGGGATTGAGCCTGCAACCTGGCATGTGCCCTGATCAGGAATCCAACAAGTGATCTCTTGGTTCATAGGTCAACTCTTAACCACCGAGCCACACTGGCCAGGCAAGATTGTTATTTTTTAGATTTCTTTCATTTCTTAACTTCCTAAGATACTGCTAAGTCCCTCTGTAACACTTAAATTTTGGATGCAGTCCAGCCAGATACAATGAAAGTACTCATGATAAAAAGAAAACTCTGCAGTTGCTTTAAAAAAGAATATTCCTATCATCAGCAAAGTGGTCACCTGGTAAACACATACAGACTTAAATGTTTCATGCTGTAAACTACAACTACATATGAAGGAATAATACCCAAATATAATCTACATTTCATTTTTATCCCTTTCCAATAATACTATACCTACACACACTATATTATCAACAATCTTCTTTCCTTTTGGCTTTACTTTCCCTTTTTGAAAAGTTTATATCCCTATCTTGTAAATATACAGCTCTTAAATTGTCATCCCAACAATATGTCCTTAATAACCCAACAATATATACTTAACGATCCATCACTCTACATTAAAGATACAAAAAGATATCAAAATTTTAATAACATTTTGGCAAACACTATCAAATAAAGTTCAGACAAAAAGGTGACACTAGCCAATCCCACCAACCTATTGAGTGTGCCCAAAATTGTAATCTTAATTGCTAACTATTCTGCAATAATCCCATTTTCACTTTGGCAACATTTCAAGACTGCAATAAGGTAGGACTTGATTGCCATGTGGTTTTATATAATTGGCCACCCCCACAAAAACACCTCTTTCAAAGTGAAATCATATCAGTGTTTATCAATATAGAAAAAGCACATAGTAAAATTATGCTAATAAGAACAACCCATTATGCAATGTTAGATCAACTTTTCAAATTTAGGAAACATAAAGAAGCACAAGAGGAAAAAAAAAGTGTGTATGTTTCCCAAAGTTACCTTCAAGTTGCCATAACCACCTACCTTTAGACGCTTCTCTGTTCCTTAAGTGAGGAGGTATATAGCGCCCTTCTGAAGAGAAAATGTAAAATTAAGTCTATCATATTCTCTAAAACACAGCATTTTATAAAAATGTCTATTTAAAAATACTAGAAAAACACTTTCAAAACTGCTTTTCTTTAAATACTTTGCTATAGGGGAAAATATATAAAAATGGGTTATGCTTAATAACCCATTGACGTAACATGGGATTATGAAGGCCTGAGGCTGGAGGGGGTTCATGGGGGGTGGGGGAGGAAACATTAAAGATTTAAAAAATATATATTAAAAAGTGGTTATCCTTAGCTAAAATTTTTTTTAAATGTCTATTTTTTTTTATTGACTCCAAAGAGGAAGGGAGGAGAGACAGAAACATCAATGATGAGAGAGAATCATTGATTGGCTGCCTCCTGCACACCAAATGTTAGGGTGACCCCTGTGGAAGGGTTGTTGGACCCACCCAAAGGGGTCACGAACCACAGGTTGAGAACCGATGTTGTAAACCTTGATACAAGCTGAGATCTTGCTGCCAAATAATAAACCACCAAGTTCCTTTCCCTAGCCAACATTAAACTATTAAGTCTCAAAAATAAGTAAGTAAATCTATAATAAAAGGTTAATATGCTAATTAGATGCGACATCCTTCCAGATGTCAGGATGAAGCCGAAGCCGGCCGGGCCGGAGTGAAGCCCGGGTCCTGGGTGCCTGCTGGCAGCGGAGGAGGGAAGCTGGTGTTGGCAGGCAGGGGGAATTTTTGTGCATTGGGCCTTATTATATTAATAAAACACCTCCCTCTTTTCATAATATCTTCATTTCAAAAGGTTTTAACTTGGCTGACATTTTAATTCTAACTACTACCCAAGAATCAGAACAATCTACTTATATCATTAAGTCTCCAGTTCTTTAAGGGAAATGAATAGCAGTAGCTATAGCACATAAATGTACAGGTTCTCTTTATTAGATAGAACACATTTCAGGTCAACTCACAAGAGAAATAGACACATCCTAATCCCTTTCATGCTTGGTCACAATTTATACTGGAGATAAGTTTTCTAAAAATGTATTACCTTAATATTTTTTCAACATGATTAACTGTTTCCTCTCAAAAAAGAACCAACCAGTTTATTATCCAGAATACTTCAAAATTTATAGGTAAAAAAGGAAATATTTAAACTTAAAATTAGAAAGTTACAATGACATATTAACATTAAGTACTAATAAAGATTCTAGACAACAAAATAATTTTTACTTACTGCTTGCTGTACTTCCTCCTTTACTCTGATTATCAGAAGTGTTCAGGTCTAGACCAGCAAACTAGGAGGAGAGAGATGTTAACAGTTCACATGCTGATACACTATGCGTGCTGGGGAGTGGGGGGAGTGTCTAGTATAGATAGCCTTACAAAAGACAAATCAAGTCCTAAAATCCAATTCTACCCAAGTAGCATTCACTGGCTAGCTGCCCTGTCTGCCTTTCTGGCTGTAAGAATGCTTTTTAAAGTCTACAATAAAAGGGTAATATGCTAATTAGACCGGACATCCTTCCTGACAAAGCCAGCTGCCTGCCGGTGGCCCAAGGGAAGCCCGCCCAGGTACTGGTGCCTGCAGACAGCTGGAGAAGGGAAGCCAGCCGGGGTCCTGGGTGCCAGAGGGGAGCCGGTGCCAGCAGCCAGGAGAAGGAAGACCTATTATTGCACAAATTTTCTTGCATTGGGCCTCTAGTACTGTATAATACTTGCAAAATACATTCATTAGAAACAAATTTTCCTGTAACAACTATGTATAGTAAAAGTTCTGCAATAACCAAACTAAAGGTCTACCTGAAAAACATTAGGGCAGTTTGAAGATTAATTTCTTTACCCACTGAAGATTATGCAACTGTTTTTAATTTGGATAAATTCCTAAGCAGCCACACCACCACCCATCATATAGTCAGAGTACTTTGCCATTTCATTTAGCACTGCGTCATTTGCCACACTATGAAGACAGTACTTATTTTTTCTATTTTGGAGATGAGACAAGCACAGAAAACTTGCTGGTCACAAAGCTACTAAATGGCACAACTCACGTTCCAAACTTTCAAAAGAGATCTTTAATCTCCATTCCTATCTGTCCCTTTACACTGATGGATTTTAATGTCATAGGAAAAAGAGGATCTTTGTTCTATTGCATTATGTAATATGTAACCAAGAACTATTTAGAAGCAGTACAATAATCATACATGCCAAAACATTAAGTTTTAAAAAGCACAAAACACCAAAATAAAAAGCAAGCTTGCCACCTGTTTGCAAAGGAAAAAAACACTGCATTAAAAAGTTCAAGATACTTTCAAATTACATGAACCATGAATTAAGATATTACTCTTTAAATTATCGAACTTTTCCAGATTAAATTAGCTTGATACTAAATTCAAATGACAGAGAGCACAATTTAACAAGAAGATTCTAGCTACACAGAAAACGTCACAAATGTGATCTCTATACTGATATCAGATTTTCTATATATACGCTTTTTTAACATACTAAGTCTGAACACATTGCACGTGTTAACAATATAATTAGTGGGAAAATATCCTAAAAGAAGCAGACCTTCAAATTCTGCAAATAAGTTACACAGTAAGATGTATAATCTATTTGTGTCATTAAACTTTGTTTTACAATTCAGAAGTTTGTCAAACATTTTTTGTAAATGGTTTATATCCTACATCAGCAATTTTCAATTGGTGTGCCTTAATTATTTTTAAAACCTGATATTCAGTCAGGGACACTGAATTCTTTTCCCTTAGATTGAAAAAACAAACAAAACACACACACCCTACAAAAAATAATTTTTTAAAACACATCTTTTTGGTATGTGGCAGAATTCTGGTGATTAGTTTATGCTTTTCATGAGTTGAAATAGACTGAAAATGCTGTCCTAAATCAATTCCATCTACTAAATGTATAAGATAGATTCCAAGACTAGGTAGTTCACTTATAGTGTCTAAAGGACTCACTGGAGACTTTCTCTGGAAGCAATACCAGAGGAAGGATATCGAAATTTCCTGCTTTGGAAAACAAGCCTCTAATACATATTTTCAGATCACATATCCCAATCCCCACTCCCAAACTTCAAAAGAAAAGAGAACAAGCTATGGCTTTACCCTACGTCAACGTTTTTCTCAAGCACGACAAAGTCAGGAACAAAAACTTCACCTGTCCTCATAATGCTAAGGCTTTTCCTCTGATAAATTCCGGAGTCAAATGCCTAAGACATACAACTTACTGTAACCCTCCCCCCCTCCCCACCCAAACGCAGGATCCCCGGCTAAAATGGCCATTCAATTACTGTCTGAAAATGAAAAAAAAGGCAGTTCCACTCTGTAACACCCAGAGCAATGCCATCCAGGGTCCAACTTTCATTATCTATAGGTACTGGTAAAAAGCAGCGCTCGACGGCCATTTTACCCACCGCCCCCTATCCCTTTCCGCTTTTCTGCGTCACAAAACTTTTCACTCCGGAAACAGCCTCATTTGCCGTACCACCCAGCGGCAATAGCCCGTAGGAGAGAGCAAGATAGCCATTTGGCGATCTTTTTTAGTCAATTGCCAACCGGGGTCTCACAGGCCCGGGCTTTCTGTTAGTGTACTACCGCCATTATTCCAGTTCCCCTCACCACACATTCCGCGGCCGAAAACCGCCTTCCACCTACATGTGAACGACGTCTCAGAGCCTAAGTCAGAGCCGGTCAATGAGAGCTAACCTCAATACAAAAAATACAAAAAAAAAGCTTTGTCGTAACTTATATCCCATCACTGGTCAGTTGATGACCGCGCCAAGCACACAAAAGCCGCCAATTCCGCGGCCGAGTTACAGCTAGGCCCAAGAAACAGTTACAAACAACATTACCGCTACCGAAGGTCTATTCTCCATGCAGACTCCACAAAGTTTAATAAACCTACTTTTTTTCCCCATCCGCCCACCGTAACTCCCACCGCAAACCACCAGGAACGAGGATAAGGTAAAAGGCGGTCGTTAGTTATCACTACGCCACAAACCACGTTAAACAAGAAAAAGGGTTCCACGAATACTGTCTGTAGACACATTTTGACTTACCTGCTGGTCTAACTCGAGCGCGTTTTCCACCGCCACATGCCTCATGCCTGAAGAGAGGCGAGGATCCGGAGTATCCGACGGCTGATCCAGTTCGTCAGAATATCTACAGCTCCCTGAGGTAGAAAACTTGGCCAAAGCCGCAGTATACTGACGACAAGGGCTTAACGTCACCCCTGCCTAGACCACCACCAACTGCTTTATTTCTACCGTTACTTCTAACTCCCGTTCTTCCACTCAAAACGTCGCGAGATTTTCTGGTTAATCTCGTTCCCAAAGCTCTCAAAACTCGCGATAGTTTTGTTAAGCGGGAGAATCTTAAACATAGGGTTAAAATATCCTCTTCTTTCCCACCCTCCTTTTTACCCTCCTAGTTTCCCTCCTTCCTCTAACTTTCCCTTTATCTTCCCCTTTATCTTCCCTTTCAGTTCCTGAAATCGTAAATTTCTTAAAACCTCTCTGTTCTAACTAGCTTTACCAAAGTCGGAATTAGTCCAAAATGCACTACAACCGAGTAGATAGATACCTTTGTACAGCGATCAACGATGACTTGAGTAGTATTTTCTGTCTGGAGAGGTGGAAGACGAGTCAGTGGACGCAGGCACTCTGCGGAGGGAGGACGGAAAGCGGAGGTGGAAACCGCAGGTCGTCCGGGCGGCCGAAGCAGCCCGGCGTTAACGGCTCAGGCTGCCGGGGCTTGTCCAGGAACCCAGGCCTCTCCGGTTTCCTAGCCGGGACTGAGCATTTATTGCTCTCGGCCGCCGCGTCACGTGGTGAGCCAACAATGAAACAATTGTAAGGCGAATGACGCTAGTTAACTCATCTCCCTGGAGACCTGCCCCCCTCCCCT